AACAAGCAAGATGACATGAAAGGGCTTCACAAGTCAGGTGTCCTTTCTTTAGATCCTCGTTCGCCTCTTCCTCCGAGTGCCAGTCAGAAACCCCAAGACCTTCTGGGAGGCCAGGACTGGGCAGCGTTGGGCTGGAGGTGGAGCTGGACCCTCTACTTTCTGTTCTGTCTCCACAGGGGACAAGGACCATGTGTGCGCCGTCAGAGGCCGCTTGTGGAAGCTGCTGTCCCCGGCCAGGCTGGCCTCCAGGGCGCTGCGGAGCAGCTGGCTGGAGAGTTACCTGCTGCACCTGGAGGAGATGGGGGTGTCCCCGGAGATGCAGGCTCGGGTGCTGGTGCAGCAGCTCTGGGCCACACAGGTGGGCGCGGTGTGGGAGAGGCGCACGCACTGTGGATGTGCGGAGTGTGTGTGCGTGTGCGTACCAGTGTGTGGGCAGGCACGTATGCAGGGGACTGTGGGTGCATGTGTGAGCACATGTGTGTCCCATGCATGCAGGCATGAGGGGGCACGCACGGGAATGTGGCTGTTTAATTGTCAGACAGCATCGTGGAATTATTTATTTTAGTCTGGGAAAATGTCAAACTCATAGACAAGCTTTTATTTTTTTCATGAGCTCCTGTATATGCGGTGCTGTGATGCCCAGAATTGTGATGAGCCAGGTCCTCACCGCCTCCACACTTTGCCCTTCCGTCTCCCTCTGCTCCCCTCCCCCAGCGCATTCCCTCTGAAAGCTTCACATGCCCTTTTCTCTCTCTCCCACCTACTGTGATTACTTGATTGGGTCATTCCCAAGAAAGTTGCAGACATCCTGGCTTTTTACCCCTAATCGCTTTATGGTCATCCCCAGGAGTTAGAGCCACCTCTCCCACCACCACGGGCACTCCCCCATCTGGGACAGCTAACCCAGACCCAGGCTCGTTGTCCTGTGCAGTCCATATTCCACTTTTGCCGGCTGTCCCAGGAAGATCCTTTGGGACTCTTCCCAGCCCAGTGTGCAGTTCGGGATCACAGGAAGCATTCCTTCAGCCACTCCACCTCTTTAGTTTTCTTTAATCTTGCAGTTTCTCTTCTTTTCATTGTCTTTCATGACCTTGACATTTCTGAAATGTGCACATCAGTGGTTTTGAAGAATAGTGGAAAAGTTCTGCTGAGTGCTTCCCGTAGAGCTCAGAGGTGCTGCTTCCTATTGCTGTCACTGTAATTGGAGTGAGCAGGGGGCAGATATCAAGGAGACAGACCCAAGGCAGGGCTAGGTGCTGAAGCGCAGGCTATAAGCAGGGCTGGGAACCAAGAAGTCCTCTCTGGGGCAGACATGTTTGAACTGTTCCCTGGATCAAAAGAAAGCTAGAGTCAGGGACTTGTGGAAGCTACAGGGGCAGAGCATTCCGGGTAGCAGCAAGCGCAAAGGCCCTGGACCTCGCCAGGTGCTGGGGCTGGTGTGGCTGACACAGGCCGGGCAGGGAGTGGAGCTGAGGGAAGCCCTCACAGGCAGCCTCGCCGGTCCCAGTAGTTGAGGCCTTGAGATTTTCCTCTGGGTGAGGCGGGAGCCCTTTGAGAGACTGAGTCCAGGAGGGGAGGGAGCAGGGGCGCCAGTGAGGAGACGGGTGTTGGGGTCCACGGCAGCCTTGGTGGGGAATGAGGAAGCGCATCAGGTTTGGAAACTTGGGTGACAGAGCCTGTGACCCTGGGAATGGCCCAGCTGTTGGAGTGAGAGGAAGGGCAGCTGCCCTCAGTCCTCCCCACCATCTCCTGCTCTGTCTCTTGGCCCCACTCTGGGCCCCACTCTGGGGCCGAGAGACAGAGGTCATTGCACAGGGTCATTCCTGCCCCATCAACTCGAGACTTATTTTTAGTTTCCTCTCAGAGCCATTAGATGTCCACCGGGCAGAGGCTGGCGAGGGGCAGGCAGGGTTTCAGCCACAGCCTTCCCTGCCCCCATTTAAGAGCATATTTATGGGCCAGGGAGACCTAACACCAGCTGTCCCCAGGGCCCCTGAGGCCGAACCAGGCACTGGCTGGGGCCTTGAGTCAGAGTCTAGGGATCGGGACATCCTCTGAATGCAGTTGATGGCAGCAGGCTGTGCTCAGGCAGATGACATCCCTTGGAATGAGGGCCCAGAGAGTGGGACCCAAGGCAGTGCAGTCCAGGGACCTGGGGACCAGCTCCGACCCACCTGCCTGGAATTGAAGTTCCCTTGCCACTTCCGGGCAGTCGGTCACTTGGCCCCTCGGTGCCTCAGTTTACCTCACCCAGCACCTTCCCAGGGTGTGGTGGCGAGCGTGAAAGGAAGATACAGACCCATGCAGGACAGGAGGCAGGGGCTCCTCGGATGTCCACCAGCTCCCGCCCAGGGCCTGCATGTGGCACCAGCTCCCGCCCAGGGCCTGCTTGTGCCAGTCTCCCTTCCAGGAGCCGGAGCCAGAGCGGGGAGCAGAACTGACCCAGGGGCCTGCGCTTCAGAGCTGGCGTACAAGTGGGTGTCTTGGTTACTTTTCTCTCATTGCTGGGACAAAGTATCTGACACCCAAAATTAAGGAAAAAAGGTTTATTCACTCACAGTTCGTAGAAGATTCAGTCCATACTAAGCTGGCTCCAAGGCAGAGTGGCACATGGCAGAGGGCAGCAGTTCATGGCGGCAGAAAACAGCAAAACAGCAAGAGCAAAGGGGCAGGAGCAGCGGCAACAATGGCTGCAGAAAGCAAGTCTGTCTCCCTTATGTTGCATTCAGGCTATCTGCCCCAGGCTGGGTGTAGCACTCACCCATAATCCCAGCAGCACTCACACCCATAATCCCAGTGGACCATGAGGTAATCACAAACTATAGAAGTCCGCCCCATGACTGCATGAGGCTTTGGGGGGACAACTAAACACAAACTGTAACAGTGGGCGAAGACAAGAACTAATGGGTGAGTAAGCAGATGAAATCATTGGAGGGAATATATTCTGGGGGGAAGGGGGAAGACAGAAGAGTGTGGGAGGGATGAAGGAAGGGCTGGTTCAGATAGGGAAGCCAAGGAAGGCCTCACTGGACAGTGGCATCTGGGGGGAAGCAGGCCGTGCAGCTTCCAGAAGGTGGGCTCCCAAGCCGGGGGAGGGCAAGTGCAAAGGCCCTGTGGTTGGCATGAGGGCCAGCACAGAGAGGTGGCAGAGCCCAGACCACACAGCACCCTGTGGGATGGGAAGGGCTTTGGCTTTTATGCTTTATATGAAGCAGGTGCCCTTTGAGGGCTCTAAGCAGAGGCAAAGCATGACCTACCTTATGCTTCTGAGGGACCCTTCCTGCTCAGTGCTGACAGAAGACCCTAGTGGGAGGACGCGGAGGCAGTGAGGAGGGTGCTTCAGGGTCCACACCATGGAGAAGGTGCTGGAACAGGCTGGGGCCGAGGAGGGCTGAGGAGGTCAGATGCTGGGTGTGTATCAAGGTGGCACCACTAGGGTGGGACCCTGGAGAGAGTGATGAGGACTCCAGACTGAATGGCAGGAAGGATGAAGGTGCCACTGGTGGAGGAGCAAGTTTGAGGGAGGAGTCCGGGGGCTTGCTCTGGGCAAGTCCAGTTTGAAATGAAGATGGCGGCCACGTGGAGATGCAGAAGGGAGGGTGTGCATGCCCATGGAGAGATGGGGCTTGATGCCTCTGCGCTGGGGGAGGTCTTGGGGTGAAGGCAGAGGGATGGGGCCATGGCCTGGGGCTCCATGTTTTGAGGTTGGGCAAGACAGTAAAGGAGGCCAAGGAAGAGTAGCCAGGGAGCAAGATGGAGAGATGAGAGAGGCAGGGAGCGAGAAGCGGCCAGAGGCTGGGGGAGGCTGAGGAATGGTTGCAGGCGTCAGGGCAGAAGCGAGTAACAACTTCCAAGAATGTGGCACTTCCCGGGGCCAAGTGCCCTGGTGAGCTCTCAGTGACCATCATCTGGTGGCTCTGCGAAGCTGGAGCCCCAGGGCCTGGGACACAGAGGGATGGAGCAGCCCCCGAGGCCCCAGTGGCAGGAGGCTGGGAGCTGAGAGCCCTGGGCTGGGCTCTCGGGTGGGCAGGGGCAGAGGTGGACCAGGGCGCAGGGCTGGGCTGCAGGCAGGGCGAGGCGTGTTCCCGGAGGCCACCCAGCAGGCTCAGCATTGGCGCGGCCTCCTAAGCTCGGGCTGGTCCCTGGCCATGCAATGCCAGCTTCAGCCGTCGAGAGCGCCAGCCACCTCTCATTCCCTTCTTCCTGCCACGCTTCTGCCTCAGCCTCAGCCTGACCGAGTCCCAGAAGCTACTGCCCCAGGGGCTCCCTGAGGGTCGTGAGGGGCATGGGAGCGGCGAGCTGGGGTCGAGGAATGCTATCGCCCTGGCACCAGCCAGCTGTGTGACCTTCAGGAAGTCACATCGTCTTCTGGGTCTCAGTTTTGCCATCTGTGAAGAGGTTTTTTTTTTCCACTCTAGCATTTGATTTTGAAATAAAATTAGGTTGTAGAAGAGTTACAGAGATAGTATTGGAAATTCCCAGATTTCTGATATTCTGTAACCATGGTACAGTAATGAATATTACTATTAATTAAAACCCTTTGTTCAGATTTCCCAAGCTTTTCTCTTCCAGGATCCAGTCAGATATCACTATGCATTTTGGGTGTTTGTTTGTTTTAAATTGAGTTTATTTTTGGAGCAATTTTAAGTTCACATCAAATTCTAATGCGAAGTACAGGCATTTCCTTGTAGCCCCACTGTCATCAACAGGATCCCAGCCGGGCATGGTGGTGCACACCTATAATCCCAGCACTTGGGAGGCTGAGGCAGGAGGAGCCTTGTGAGTTCGAGACCAGCATGGACTACGAAGTGAGCTCGAGGCAGCCTGACCTGCATAGCAAGACCTTGTCTCAAAAACAAAGCGAAAAAAATCCCTGAGGGTGGTAAAATAGTTATAAATTATAAACCTACCTAATATGTCATTTTACCCGTGGGGCATTTTTCTCTTCCCTTAAAATATTTTTAAAACTCCAACTTCAAAGAGACAGAATCTGCACGCACCTGGACTTTGGCGGCCCATTCTCCTGTGCTGATCCTGGCTTCAGGTGGCTTCTCAGTGTGGTGGCCTTCGTGGCTCCTAGTGGTTCAGGTGGTTTGCCATTCCCAGCAGAAGAGGCTGGTCTTTCCCAAGAGGTCCGCATGAATCCCAAGTCCGACACTCACACCAGTCAGGGTTCCACATCCCCTCTGAGTGAACCATGTCACAGTCCCTGGAGTCAGATACCCACCCCTGACATCAGCAAGGGGTCAGCCCAGGACTGGCTGTGGGCTCCCATGAAGTAGGGCTCATTCTCTGGAGGAAAATGAGGTGTTGTCACCCCAAGATGAGCAAGAACAGCCAGGTGGGCACATGGACCACCCAGCATGTGGTGTGGCGCAGTGCACGCCCCCTGCAGGCAAGCCACACCCTTCCCAGAAGACACTGGGACCACGGTAGGTGCTGCTGGTGGTGGCTTTGGGTTGCAGTGGGAGGAAAGTGTCTTCCTGGTAAACTGAGGCAAGGCGCCACAGGAGAAAGCCCAACACCAGGCAGTGAGCTCAACATCCCCGGGAGGTGTGATCACACTCGTGTGCATGCACACCCACACGCCCGTCCTTGCAGTCAGGTCAAAGGCTGCCTTGTTCACTTCTCTAATTTGCACAGCTTCTTCTGCAAGCAGAGCTAACGGAGCACAGTGGGCTCCACACCTGCTAGGTAATTTATAAGCAGAGGCCCCGTCTGATCATCCGGGCAGGATGAAAGGGCCTCGGCGCTGAGCTACCTGCTACTGATTATCCATCAGCCGCGTGCCCGGGTCAGCCACGTGAGGAACAGTGAGTGGCCTCAATGTGGGAGGGTCTGAGGGATGCTGAGACCACCTTTGTGCCCAACCCCGAGGAGGGATGGTGGGAGGGGTCCACCCTGGAGTACCCTTCTGTGCCTGTACTGGTCTCAGCAGGCCCTGTGGCCCTGGAGAGTGGCTCTGCCGTCATCTCCATTGTCCTGAGGAGGATTCTGAGGCCCAGAGGACTGGCTTGTCCAGAGTCACAGAGTGGGGCATGGTGGTCTGAACCCTGCTTTGTCCAGGGCTCTTGCAGCCCATCTCCCAGGGTGTCTTGGAGCCTCCAGGCCCAGAGGGACACAGATGTTGACTGCGTGCCTCTTGGGGAGCCCCTGCGAGTTCTGGGCAGTGGGTCGTGGCTGGGAAGGACCACTCTTTCCTTTTCTGATGAGGATGTGTGCTTGCGGCAAGTATTGAGCGAGGGAACGCCGTACCTGCTTGGTGCTAAACGCCCATGAGCTAAAGATGGAGAATTCAGCTTAGCATTGCAGATGCTCCGGTGCGGGCGTGGGTGCGTGTTAGTAAGGACAGGACTGGGGGAGCAGTGAGTTATGTCCGGCCTTTTTGTGTGTGTGTTTGGAGATGGCATTCTCACTGTGCCATTCCTTGAACTCACTCTGTGGCTCAGGCTGGCCTCAAACTCAAGGTGATGCTTCTGCCTCAGCCTCCCGAGCCCTGGGATTACAGGCACCGGTGATGCCACACCCAGCACCCTTTTTATTTTGATACAATGTCTTGTGAATTTGCCAGTTTGAGCTCCAATTGCAATTCTCCTGCCTCAGCCTGCTGAGCTGCTAGTGTTGCAGGTGTGGGTCAGCACTCGGGCTTCCAGCATTTCCTGATAGCCTTGTGATTTTCTTCTGTGGTTAAGATGTTGTTTTAGTTCAGATTTTTGTTTGATTCAGCACTGTACCATGAGCGTTTCTCAGGCCACTGCAGATCACTGTGAGAATGATTCAGTGCCTTGCTGTTTTACTTAAAAATAGGACATCCAGGGG